TTTCATATTTTGACATAAGTGTGCATAAAAAAGGCGGTGTAAAATGTGATGATCGTATTTAGAATTGGATATATATTGTGTGATAAAATTACGTTGTTTCATCTTTACCATCATGTATAAATATACGAAATGTTAACTATTTAATGAAATCTAGAAATAATAACGTTTTATCTTGGATAATAAGCTTTTACAAAATTCGTCAGTAGATATTTCGATTGCACAAAAAAATGATTGGATTGTCACTGATTACCTAGCGATGATATACATGAAATACATACCTCATTTCCACATTTAAGACAACAATTTAATTGCAACTGTTTTGTTCCAAATAATTGACTAATGTCTGAAATGTCGTCCCTTCTTTCATCTTCCAATTTAATTTCGATATCAGCTTCTATAAAAAAAATATATATGTGATTACTAGATGCCTTAACTGTTGGATTTTTATGATGTAAATAATACAAAATTTTTCTCTTTGCCAATACTCTGATTTTCACTTAAATTTTGAATTAATAACCTTAGTTATCTACAAAACATTATTTAAAAAGATCTGCGAAGATCTTAAAAAGCATGTTCTGAAGCTTCTTTCTTACGACATTTTAATATTATTTACTATCTTTATTGGCAATTAAGCACAATTTCATTTGAAAATAAGTTTATTTTCCTGTTTCGATTTCTATTATCGAAATTGTGATTAATTTCCATGAAAGATACTAAATAATTTAAAAGCATGACTTTGACAACATTTACTCTTTTTGGTGCTCCATAGTATACTTTACAGATTAAAAATAATTACACGGTCCTTCGCAGTACGTTTTATAGCGTTAATTTTGGTGATAGTGAATTTCTCACTTCAATTTAATATTTTATGAAATATGTTTTATAGTCCGTTCGCTCAACTTCGAAATATTTTGACAGATTCATTGTCGGAAACATTTAACATAAAAGTTCCCATTTTTAATACCACAAATAAACTTACTGTTGCAGATTTCTTTCATTAAAAAAAGAATAATCATACATAATGGTAGTGTTATATTATTTTCAATAAAAACTCCATTTGTAAATACTAATCACTAAAGCAATAAGACTTTAAAAATAAATATTTAAACTTTTGTTTTAAAATGATGTAGTTTTATTTTAGTAATAAACTGCGTGCAACTAATTTTTTGCTTTTAATTTACAATAAGATATTTACTATAAGCACGTGTAAAATTTAAAAAAACGTAGCAAAAATTATTACTAAATTTACTAGACAGTTGTGACTACGATCAGTGAATCAAGTAAAGTAATTAACATCGCCATGTCCAATGCGGAACGGACGATAAGGCAAACATATTGATCGTGTTGAGGCGATACGAAAATACGGATCTGTGCTATTTATCTAGCTGGTGGTTACTATAACTGCATTTATTTAAATGGTTTTCTTGATGTTTGGGAATTTTTCAGTTATTCTAAATAGATCTTAATGCATCTTTTTGTTTTATTAGTTGAATTATTTAATTACTCCGAAAAAAAATAAACTACATTGTTACTTACCTACAGGTGGCTTCTTTTCCTTAACTTTTTCTCCTGATATACTGGGAAAATCTGTCTCTTTGTAAATGAAAAGTTTCCTAGCTGCCTTCCTTTCATCATTTTTCTTTCGTGTTTCAGTTAATTCCACATGCATCTGGTGTAGTATAAACCTGTTCCAACTCTAAAAATGATCTATAAAAATCATTTGTGATAAAATACTATTTGAATAGTCAATAATTGCGCTGATAAAACATTGCCAAACGTATTTGTTGTTTTACGAGACATACACTAAAAGTTTTGCACAGAGCCATTTAGCGGAAGTTAGTCGACTTCGTTAATACGATTTTCGTAAATTTTAACATTTCTAATGTAAACATTGACAGATTAAAAATCCATTTCGTGATTTACCAGGAAAAAATTTTCGAAACAATCATGAAAAAATGAAAATCTCTCGTGAACATATTCGTACAAGGATTTTACACGATTTTATAGTTGGCCTAACCAAACATCAATGCGTTGATCAACTTCGTCTTTGATTTCGTAATAAAGCACTAGACTCATCAACTGTTGACAAATGGTTTAAAGAATTCAAGCGTGATCACACCATCCTTAGTAACGAATTCTGTGAACGCCGTCCGTGAACACTGATGATGTGCGCCGCATGATTGAAACAGACCCACATGTTACCTATCATGAGATTCTTGTTCATGATCATTGGACATAGATATGAATCAAATACAAACAATTTTGCATGACCATTTGGCAAAGGTATGCAGTCGTTGGATTTCTCATAATTAGACTGCTGTACATAAGAAGGCAAGTATCGAGTGGTGCCGCGTACACTCAAACGATTCAACGGAGGAGTGCTATGCTAGCTATAAAGATCTTTATTAAGATGGGCAATAAAATGCCCAATCCTTTTTGTAGTGGCATCCTCCCTTGGAGATTTAAATGCAGCAAAGTGGTTTATAGCCCACTTTACATTTTCCGATTTGATGTTTTTTTTTACAGAGAATTCCCAGTCTTCTTTTCTAGGACGCTTAAGTCGTCGTAGGTTTGGGTTGCAGCCTGAGTCTCAATAAATTCTGTCAATAAATTGTTGATCTGGGAAGTGGTTCTGTAATAGAAGCTCTAAAATTTCCTTTTTACATTCGGTAAAGGTACCATGAGATCTTTTATTAAGTAGGCGTGGTCCATGTACCGGATCTTTGGAAAAAAATCTTATGGATTCTAGTGCTGGCAGGTATATTTAAAATATTCTGACAGAACCTCTCAAATAGAGAGATCTCTTTCTTATATGTTACCAAGATTTTTTCTGCATATTTCTCAGTTCCCCAATTATTTGGCTTTATTCGATAGCCGATAGCGATAACATGTATTTATTAACCTGTGTTCCATGTTCTAACCTGTGATCTAATTATTTTATGTGGATGAAACCACAATTGGTTGTAATGGAAATTACATTTTACATTTTTGAAACCAAAATTTTTTCAAATATTTTTTTTTCGGAAATGTAAACGTTAAAACAAATGCAAAATGTAATCCCATCTAAAATAGTATTTAATTACAACATGTCACAAAAAAACCGTTTGTGACCTAATTGTAATTGGTCACGAAGCTGAATACTTAGTTTTCGGTGTAACTTGCTGTGGCTAAATATTTTGTATGGCTATTTTTAAGGAATCAACTCTAAATCAGAATGTTCAAATATAGCAAAAATAGCTAAATTTTTCTAAAACAGCTTATCTCTTCGAACCACATATAATATAAATATTTTTTTAAACATATCTTCGGTCCTTTGCATAGGATTGAATTTCTGAAAGGATATTTCTACAATTGCATGCTCTCTTATTTGTTATAATATATTAGAGAGTGGTAAAAAGAAAAACTGTGTGTCAAGTTAGAGGCGTGAGACTGGAATAACAATTTACTCAAAACTTATCATCATAACTAAATAATTAAGTTTTGAATGATATTTATTTAAATAATTGATGGATTCGACCGTTACTTGATGGAAATTCATTTTATGTAACAATAAAACACTGAAAACTTTGTTTTCAAACTTCCACAAAATTTATTTTAACTATTATCACTACAGCTGTTTCGGCTGATTGCCTTTCTCAAGTGATCTATTTTTGACTTGGGTTTACAAATTTATAGTCTCTAATGAAATAGGTTGAGGAGGGGAGAAGTCTCAAGTTGGTCATTCAGAATTATATCTGTGTTTTTTAATTTGTTGATTTCCATAGATTCTAACAAAGATAGCTTAAGGCCTTTATTTTGAACGTGAAGAATTTTAAATTTGTCATTAAAAGAATGATTATGATCTAGAAGGTGAAGTGCGTATGTCGAATCTGTTTTTCTATTCTTGAAAGCCCTTTTATGTTCTGCTATTCGTTTCTCAAAGTTTCTACCAGTTTGACCGATGTACGTTTTTGGGCAGTCGCCACATTGAATTTTATACACACCACTATTTAAGTGTTTTTTATTTTGGCTCTTGTTATTTTTAATATATTTACCTAGGTTGTTATTTGTTCGGAAAGCTGGTGTTATTCCTTTCTTTTTTATATGTTTGGCAATATTTATTTACTTTTTTAGGACATCTTCAGATGAAGAAAGTTACAAATACTAGCCAGAAAAATAATTATTCTTCATGAGTGTTGATATCTATTAAGAGAACATAATTCTTAGTATAGTCTTTAGTTAAAGGGAGCAATGCTGACTCATTACGTGCCAAGCGACAATAAAAGAAAAGAAGGAGTTCACAATCCCCGTTTAGGCAATAAAAAAAATAAGAACGCCGCAAAAACATAGAATACAAAATGAATTTTTAGGGGATGAAGAGGGAGATTTTTAATTTGTGACAACATAGTCGATCTTGTCACTATAATCGGAGAATACAGTAAGCGAATGGGATTAGAGATTAATACCAAAATGACCAAATTCATGATTATTTCCAGAAATTTGGATGCACTTGAAAACTCCACCATAACACTGAATACTAAGTCCATTGAAAGAGTGAGTAAATTTAAATACCTGGGATCGTGGCTTTTTGAAGACTGGGCATCGCACAGGGAAGTAAAATGTCGCATTTAGCAAGCTCGACAAGCTTTCGTAAAATTCAAGAAGGTACTGACTTGTTCAGAGTTCGATCTTCAACTAAGACTAAGGTTTACTAAGTGCTACGTATGGTCAGTGCTGCTATATAGCGTAGAGGGCTGGACACTCAAAACGAGGGATATAAACAGATTAGAAGCTTTCGAAATGTGGCTTTATCGCCGTATCCTAAAAATACCATGGACAGCGAAAATCACAAATATAGATTCCTTAAAAGAATAAACCAAGAACGCCAACTTTTCGAAACCATGAAGAAAAGGAAAACGGCGTATCGAAAACGGCGTATCTAGGTCACATCATGCGAAATTAAAAATACCAGTTCCTCCAACTTATAATCGAGGGTAAAATTGAAGGCAAGAGAGGAATGGGACGCAAGAAAATGTCCTGGCTCCGAAACATAAGGCAATGGACAGGGATTAACGACATAAAATATCTGATACATATTGCAAGAAATAGAGAATTAATGGAAAATGTGATCGCTAACATCCATTAGTGGATTTGCATCTGAAGAAGAAGAAGAAGAAGAAGAAGAAGAAGAAGAGGGAGAACAGCCTGGTAAAAAAAACTAGTCCTCGCGTATTGATAATGAAGAAGAAGAAGAAGAAGAGGGAGAACAGCCTGGTAAAAGAACTAGTCCTCACGTATTGATAATGAAGAATTTATTGAGATCTATGTTCTCAGAATACAATTAGAAGAGACTAAGAAAACTCTAGCCCAATATCCAGAGTATTTTGATAAAGAAATAAAGAGAAAAACATTATAGTAACCGGACTTAAAAATAGACTCTGTAGAAATGAAAACGAACCTTCGGGAAAATTTTGAATAACATTAATATTAAAATACTTGTCTGGTAAAAATAAACAGCTACGAGTAAAAAAGTACAGTAATGGAAAAGAAAAACAAATTAATATTTATTGAAGATGGACAATTTTACATCAACGACGATGATTTGAATTACACGGAGAGGAAACTACAAGGAGAAATATGAAAAGAATAGGAAAGATTTTAAGACGAACGAAAGAAATATGAAAAGAGGATATAACAAGAAGCATCAAATCATGCTGTACAAAAAAACTACACTTAAATAAAAAATAAAACCAGAAAACCGATAATGGCAACGAACAAGGAAAAGGTGAAAAATGACAAACGAAAGAAATAATGTATATATAGGCTTTGGAATGTAAGGGGAACAAACAGCGAGGGATCTTTCAAGACTATAGAAAGGGAATGTCAAAAATACGGTATCGATACATTGACTCTACAGGAAACAAAGCAGAAAACAACGGACACTCAAGAAATGGTGATAACAGTGTTCTGGGTATTGGTTTTTTCCTAAACAAGAGGGACAAAAGTAAAGTAATAAATAAAGTACCTAGTTATAGCTCGCTATTAGCATTTATTGGAGCATTATTTTACTAACAATGGTCACCTGGATTGTACGCATCGGTTTAATTTACTCCTCTAACAAAGTCTTCCTGATGAAATTTAAAAGTTGAAACAAATGTAGGAGAATGGTGAGGGACTTGAATTAAATCGAAATGCAAAAATCTATATTTGTTACGTTTATCATTCTTACTTATCGTACTACCGTAAATTGTCGATGTACTCGTGGAATTTAAATATTGCTAGCATCGACCTAAAAGCTTTATTAGATTGGATTTACAGTTTACTTTAGTCGCTATTGATACTGACTTCATTTTATCTCGTTAGAGCAATTAGCTTTTAGTGGTGCATTATTTTTATAATAATAGCCATTGGAATAATAGGCGTCGGTTCAATTCAAACTTAGAAATTTAAACACGCGTAGGATAATGGTGGGAGACTGGAATTGAAGCATTTATATTTATAAAGTAATAAGTTTTTGACCAATACCCGATAGACTGTGTTAATAAGGACGAAAAAAAAACACAGTTTTACGCAGACAAAAAGGCGCGTATAATAAATAATATATACAGAATTTTGCTATGAAAATTGTACGAGGTGATTTTAATGCAAAAGTGGGCAAAGGCGAAATTTTTAAATTCGTCTCTTGGTAAATGTTGATAAGATAGGAGGTACGATGTTTGATCACAAAAGTTGTCGCAAAGTTACATGGATATGACCGGATGGTAAAACAGACAATCAAACAAATCACATAAAGTGAGCAAACATATTAAGAGCCAACACAATGTAAGAATCTACAGGGTGGTGAATTGTCAAACGGGCCATAGGAAATTCAATGGGAAATTCTAAATTGTTGAATTCCTGCTTCCCTAATTATTTTACATCAAAATTCATAAGAAATTATTTATAAAGAACTGTAATATGTATTAAAAACAAATATGCACTTTAAAATTGTTCTACTAATTAAATGTATTCCAAAATTTTGTAAATATATAATACATTTTTTAGGCCACCCCTTGTATTAACAGCAGTTATAGAAAATCCTAGAATAAATTCTAGTACCATTGCAGACCAGTTTAATACCTATTCATAACTCTACGGCCTTAAAAATTTTAAAGAGGAATAAATTCCGTTCATATAAATTTCAATGTCATCAAGAACTAAGAGAAGGAGAACCTGACGAATGGAGGGAATTTTGTTATGAAATGTTAGAGAGGGCTAATGCAGACAATTTTTAAAAAACATTTTGTGAATGTACATTTACATTAAATAATGAATCAAATGTTCAAAATTATTTGGTCGACAAAAAAGCCTGAGGATATTATTGAAAGCCATACCCAATATCGTCGAAAAATAAATGTCTGGTTAGGAATATTTAGACACAATATTATTGGACCATTTTTCTACGAGGAAAATTTAAATTAAAAAAGTTTTTAGACTTGCTACAAGAAGAAATTTTACCCAGACTTTTCTAGCTCCAAGCGATTTTTTTATCTGGGGGCATTTAAAATCAAAAATCTATTCTGACCAAAAATTTACAGATATTAAAGCATTAAAAATGCGAATTATTGAAGAGTGTGCAAAAATAACGCCACGCATTCTGGCTAATGTTAGACGAGAATTTTACAATCGAAAGGGATACTGATTAGTACAAAACGGCTTATTGTTTGAACATTTGTTATAGTTTTATGTTTATAAATTATCATAAATTATTATTAGGAAGGATCACAGTAAAACTATATTGAAATTATTTGATTGTTGTATAACCTGGAATTGAATTGGAGTGTATTATGATATTTTGTGTTAAATAAAGACCTGGCATTGCTCGTACTAATGCCTGAATACATTATTGCGATTTTTCGTGAACTGAGTATTCTGGTTAATGTTAGACGAGAATTTTACAATCGAGTAGGATAGTGCTTAGTACAAAATGGCTTATTGTTTGAACATTAGTTATAGTTTTCATCAATTTTATTTGCTTTGTAAACAATATAATTTATTGTTTACAAAGTACTATTTATTGTTCACTAGTAGTAGTAGTATTTGTGAAAATTTGTGTTTTGTAGTAGGTTGTGTAAAAATTAAGCACAAAATAAAAATATTGACAATTTAAACATTGTCAAATATCATAATCATCAATATGACAAAACGCAACATGTCATACACATTCTTGTACCTCGTGTGGCCTGACTTTAAGGCTGAAAAGGCATGTCTGAAAAATGTATTATATTTTTACAAAATTTTGTAATAGATTTAATTCGTAAAAAAATTTTAACATTTGTTTTTAATACATATTTCAGTCTACAAATAGTTTCTTATGGTTTTTGATGTAAAATAATTAGGGAAGCAGGAATTCAACAATTTAGAATTTCCCATTGAATTTCCTATAGCCCGTTTGGCGATTCACCACCCGGTATATATGTGTCAAAGCTAATACTGATCACTATTTAGTAAAGGTTACAGTAATGTTCAGTATCTCTAAAGTAGAAAAAACGAATTATGTAAAAAATGTTACCTATGATAAGACACAGCTCAAAGACGAAGAAATGGAAGAAAAATATATATGAAAATATACTAGGAAAAATAAAAGAAGTGCTGCCGAAAGTACAGACATAATTTAGTCTCAGTTAGAAAACAAGATAAATAGCGGCATAAGTATTCGAAAAGAAAAACCGTCAAACAAAGAGGTACCAAAGTTTGAGGAAGAATATACATACTTGATTCAGCAACGAAATGAAATAAAACTAAAAATGCTTAATAAAAAAACCTAAATGAAGTTTGAAACTTCGAATGCAATTTTTATAATTTATAAAATTAGGAAAATGTCCAAAGGGATTTCAAAACTGTTTAAAACATTTTCAGACCTACCAGATCATCATCAGTGAGACCTGAAAGTAAGTATTTCCACGCTAATGCAAAGGTGTAAAATTTTGATTTAATGAAAAACATTTGGTATAATTACTTACTTGACGCATTACGAAAAAGCCACTTAGTTAGGTTTTTGTACAATAACCTCAAAATGATACAAAAACAGAAAGAAACAAATATTTTTTTAATCTTCTTCATTTGCCTTGTCCGTTCCGAACGTTGGCAATCAACATGGCTATTCTGACTTTGTTTACGGCAGATCTGAATAGTTCAGCAGATGACAATCCGAACCATTGCCGCAAGTTTTGGAGCCACGAGTGTCTTCTCCTCCCTGGACCCCTTCTACCCTGGACCCCTTTTTAATATAAAAATTAATTTCAAAGTTTATATAGAAGTACAAAAATTCTGAAAAGTATTATTAACTTAAGTCTAAACACCAACTATTATAGTTTTTTGTTTGAATGGTGCATGACCACCATCACCTATTCTGTCTCGTAACGTATTCAGAAAAATTCACATCAAAAAAGCTCCTGAACACATTGTAATTTGATAGCATGATAGTTTAAGTATTTTTTTTAAATAAATTTGGCATTTGCCATGTAACAAATTTGTTTATTGGGTCACAGTTAAAATGAATGTTTTTTAATTTTGATTATGTTAAACAGCTTTGATGTTTACATCTTTAATGTACACGACTGGCCACTTCCAGTTTTTCGACAAATGCTGACATATTTTAGGTAACCGCATATTATTCTTCAGGAGAATCGACCATGTGTTTTGTTATTAAATATTAACACTAGCCATTCACTAACACACCTGCACGGAATACATTTCGATACCTTTTGCTTGTGTTGAATATTATTTTTAAATTTAATATTATGAAACATTTTTTGAAAAATATACGTTTTCAAATAATCTTTTTACTGATAATGTCATATCAAACTGTCATATCATTAAGTGGCTCTTAAATGTAATATTCATGGTGTAATATTCTAATAACGTTCTTTTTTGTTTCGATGGCTCGATAATATTACAAATTTTATAATTGTATCTGTATTCTTACCTGTATTAAAGCTGAGAGTTCAATTTTCTGTTTAGCGTCCGGATGAAGATCGCTTAAAATTAAACTGAGTGCAGATGCTTCGGGAACTGTTCGAAAGGCTCTTAAAAAGTTTCCTGGTTGACATGGTTGGTTGTGTGAAGCTGTCAAAAGCATGTGAAACAAGAATCCCAGTTCACACGAGAGACAAAATTCTTTCATACACAGATGGGTTAGAAGAGCTGCTCGTAATGGTTCCGTATAATATAAAACCTAAAAAATAAACTATGTCAATTAAAATTTTCAATAAAACACTTGTGCTTTATAAAAACGTTTATATTTTTTAAATATTTTTAGTTAAACGAAGTACTGAATATGAATAGATATTTTTGGGTTATTACGTTTTCACATTATTCATAATTTTGTAGAAGCATTTTACAGTTCTCTCTTTACTCTGGTAAAATTAATACATAGGTACAATTATTGGTTGTTACAGTATAAGAAGATAATGGAATGTCGTGACTGTCAGCAAAATTAGAAAGGAATGGTTACTGTTAATACCCTCGTACATTATAATGAGAACAGAAATACAATAAATTAACATAGAAATATATACAACCAGATATACAATGTTAAAATTGATTCAAATAGTAATTAAAGACATAATTTATAAGTTACATACTAGATAATATTATTAAAAAATAATTATATGAGGGTATTTTTGAGAATTTAGCATAAGAATTAAGTTTACGAAGTTTTTTTTTATGTTATTTTATTTAAGGTCTAACTGGTAAGCTGGTTTTGTATGTTTTCAATAAAATTGATAGTGTGTAAAATAGTTTAATAATTAAGCTAAGTATACTTTCGACATAATAAATGTCATCATCAGAGCTATCCTAAAATAACGTTAAGTTAAGTAAATTTTTTATATAAAATACAATGATAGAAAAAACTTACGTCAATTAGGTAATAAATACTTCATAGAAGGACAATTGTGCACAAACGACATATTAAAATTCAAAGATCGGGCTCTGTAGGCCACAGATCTTGGGTCTAACCCTTATACATATGTATAATTCACATTTAAAAAGTTTTTATAAAAACATGGTTACCACATACAGTAACGACAACAGCTGTCTTTGACTTACATTTTTGAAGTAAAATGAAAATGAAATAGGAAGCTCGGATATACGGAAATAAATCCTAGAGCGACCTCTGTATTTAAATTATTAATTAAAAATTGAAAATGTCTAAAATGACGTCTAAAGGTTAATGATTATTAATTTTAGCTACTGTAGAATTTTAAATTTAAATATTTTAAATTGATTAGTTAACGTGAAGATTTAAATATACATTTATCAAAATTATCAAAAAACAAAACTTTAAAGTTTGACCAAATAGAAGAAAGTAGATGAAAACCAACCAAGGAGAAGTATCATTTGCTAAGTTAAGAGTTCAACAGCTATTCTTGATTATTGATATTATTAATAAATTAAATAATGAAGAAGAAAATATCAAACATTCTCTATGTAGATGAAATCAATGAAGAAAGTATAAGAAATTCTCTCTTTTTAAAATCTCTTTTTTAAAAATAAAGGTCAATGCTTGATCAAAAGATGGTTAATTTTATACTAAGTGTATTATTAAAGAAACTTCTTAAAGATTGGATCAAACTTACAATTTAAATTAATTTGAGTGTTGACACAATTCTGAGGATTCCTTTTCATTTCTCTACTGATTTCAAGATCTTCTAGTAAATTCATTTTTATATAAATTATTATTTATAACTGGGAATAAGCCACATTAAAGATAAAAATACATTTATTGACGTTTCAATTTCCAATTCGGAAATCGTTCTCAAAATACAAATAGTAATTTACTATTTGTATTTTGAGAACGATTTCCGAATTGGAAATTGAAACGTCAATAAATGTATTTTTATCTTTAATGTGGCTTATTCCCAGTTATAAATAATAATTAATTTACAATGCCACAAGAAAATAGCTTCAGAACAATATCATTTTTATATAATTATTATTGGGTATACTGTGTAGGATCTTACTATCTCTATGAGGACTAAAGCCATGCTTTGAAGCATGTATATGATTCCCAAAACTAGATTTATCAATCTTAGATAGATGTTCTTTGATGCGTATATCCAAAGGTCGCATTGTTCTACCCACATAGGTCACTGGGCATTCACCACAGGATAATTTATAAATACCACTTTTTGACGATTTGTTAATTTTGTCTTTAGTGTGGGAAAAAATAGATTTGATATTTTCTTTAACTTTGAAAGAAAGTTTTAGATTAGGGATGTTTTTTAAGATTCTAGCTATATTGTCTGAGGGATAACCTAAGTACGATATTGATCGATAAATAACTGTTGAGTTAGAAATGTTATGGACAGTGTTGTATGCTAGTGATCTATTCCTTTTATTCCTTAATTTGTTGAGTATGTTATCAACCAAAGTAGGGGTGTAACCGTTACTATAAGCAAGTTGTTTAATAATTTCTAATTCTGAATTAAAATTTGAATCTGACAGAGGTAAGCTAAGTAAACGATGGATATAACAATAAAAGGAGGCCATTTTCTGTTGAAAAGGATGATTAGAAGATCTAGGGATGGTATGGTCAGTCTGAGTTGGTTTTCTGAAGACTGAAAAATTTAATTTATTATCTATTTTAGTTAATGTTAAATCTAGAAAATTAATAGAATTGTTGGATTCTGTTTCTAAGGTGAATTTTATAGCTGGATGTAAGTTGTTAAGTGAAACTAGGATATTGTCTGCATCTGAGGAATTTCCATCAATGATAGCTAACACATCATCCACATATCTAAACCAATATAAAACTTTTTGAAACGGGTTTTGATTCAGAGAAAGATTGTCAAAGATATTAATCTCCAGGTTATTCAGAAATAGATCTGCTAGCAAAGGTGATAAGGGATTGCCCATTGCCAATCCTTGTGCCTGTTTATAAATAATATTGTTGAAAGAAAAGAAATCTTGTGAAAGACAAAATTTAAGTAAACCCAATATGTGAAAAATTGTATCTCTATTAATGTTGTTTTTAATAAGTAATTTCTCAACTATGGAATTTTATTTAATTTTTTATTTTTTATTTTATTTAATTTATTTATTTATTTAATTTTATTAATATTTTATTTAATATTTAATATGTTTATTCATCCATGTGCATATGCAACCAAACATACACTGTAGTGTCAAAGTCAAAAAGTTATTTATTTTTGTGATGTTAATTTAGAATATAATTGTGGATGTAGAATAGTAAAAATATATTTCATATAAATGTTTAAGTTACATATAATAGTGTAGTTCTGATCTGGAGAGCCTAAAGTCAAGTAAATAGAAAGTTCTCGAAATGTCAATGGGACTATTTACATAATACATCACAGACACGAAACGATTTCCAGAATATTCAGATAGAACAAATAGAATGATTCGAACATTATTTATTGCTAGACTATTCTGGAAACAATGAAATAGATATAAAAAGCCATGTAACTTGGAGGAGTTTTAGTTCAGTTAGAGTTCAGTTATCAATCAGTCAGTTATCAGTTAGAAGTCAGTTAGTTAGTTAGTTACAGTAAAGTTATAATTCAAGAATTTAGTAACAAGAAGATTATTAATTGAGTTAAGTGAGTTAGTTAGAAGAAATTAAATCAGTTACAAGATTATTATTGAGGAGTTAGTTGTAGCAATTCAAGGATTATTAAGTCAGTTATTTATGAGGTTATGAAGAGATTATTAGCTAGAAGAAGGCATTGATTAAGTTAAATGAATTATTAAGTTAAATACAGTTGGAGATTAATTATTACTACAGTAATATAGTGACATTTTGAAGTTAATTCATTGAAATAAGCATTCAATAATACAACCAGAAGATCCAGTATGTTTCAAAGTACATTATATGGAAATTACAAGGAGTTAAATATATATATATTTATATGGTGAGTGGAGATAATTAAGAAGGAACATATTAAAATAGTTGGATAACCAATGCTTAGTAAGAAGATATCGAGTGGTGATAATAACTTTAATTTTGGAAAAAACTTTAGGCGTTCAGTGAAAGAAAGTACTAAATTTTGTTAATAATTTAATAATTGTAAGAATTTCAAATTTTAGATAGATTGTTTTAAATTGATATTGCTTATATTAGATAGATAGGTTTGTTTGATAATAGTTATAATAAAGATAATTTAAAAAAGTACTTACAAACTAATTCTTTGAGAACCGCGATAAAAACCCTATACTTACATATATATCATTTAAATTTACTCATAGCTCATACAACAACAACACATCATAACAATATACCGGGTGGTGAATCGTTTAAACGGGCCATAGGAAACTCAATGGGAAATTTTAAATTGTTGAATTGCTGCTTCCCTAATTATTTTAGATCAAAAGTCATAAAAAACTATTTGTAGAGGACTAAATTCTAAATTAAAAACAAATGTTAAAACCGTTCTACGAATCAAATGTACTTCAAAATTTTGCAAAAATATAATAGATTTTTCAGACCACCCCTAGAAGTTAGGCCACACGTAATACAAGAATATATTATAACGTGTGTGTTTTATCATATTGATGTCAGATGTTTGACAATTTGAATTGTCAATTTTTTTTATTTTATGATTAAATTATAAACAATGAATTTTACTAAATACTACTACTACTGAACAATATTACTTTGTGAACAATAAATTATATTGTTTACAAATCAATCAATATAATGAAATGTACTCAGTTGACGAAAAATCGCATAATGTTGTATTCATGCAATAGCGCGAACCTTTTCCTGTCACTACCGGATCTTTCTTTAACGTAAGATATTCTAATACACTAAAATTTAATTCCATGTTAAGTTATACAACAATTCAATGAATTCCAATATACTGTTACTGTGATCTTTATTCCTAATAATAATATACGATAATTTTTAAACATAAAACTATAACAAATGTTATAATAAAACATGAATAAAACATTTTTATTATTGCTCTTTTCTCCTTAACTGAGTACATTTTTTAATCAACTTAATTTTTCTTTTAAATAATAAATCACAAAATTTTGGCCATTTAAATCATAGATAAATATAATATAGTTGATTTAAATATAGTCAAATATTAGAAACGGCGTCTGGCCTGACTTTTAGGGGTGGCCTGAAAAATGTATTATATTTTAGCAAAATTTTGGAATACGTTTAAGTCGTAGAACAATTTTAACAATTGTTTTCGATACATATTT